ACTTACACACACAGTAACTATTTATTTTGCTTTTCCATTGACTTTTCAAACCAATACTTCAGTTAAAATATTCATTGTTTGAAGCTATTTCATCCTTAAAGAAGAACTGAACATTATTGATTTCAAATGTCTTGAAAAGATTGAATATGTTATAATGATTACACTTATTTTTTATAAAAGTCAAGCTTTCTTCAATAGGTTTTTAAAAAAGTACATTATTTTTCTTACAAATGCCTGTTTCATGGCTTGCTTTCACTTCAGATTCAGTTGACTTACCATAATAATCTACACCACCTAGTTCTTTATGCAAAGAACTGGAAAGCTGGAAAACAACCAAGCTTCTAAGTTGGTTGTCATTGTGAATTCTGAAGATGACAGCGTTTCCTATTTTCTAAGGGAAAGCAACTCATGATTTCATCGTGACAATGTAAGAAATACATTTTTTGCCAGATCATAAATGACTTAATACATTATTTTTAGATTTTTATTTGTCGAGTTTAGGTGAATATATGGAATTAGTTTCAGGGACCTACTAATGTTGATATTAAACATATGAATCATATTGAATGTCTTGTGACAGCACATAGGATGCATTCATCTCTCCTATTTTGTTAACATACATTGTACTTTAGACTATGTTGTAAATATTAAATCAAATGAAAATCATCTCTAATAACCATTAATTGAATCAACCAACCAAGGAGTATTTCTTTAGGGCCTACCATATATCAGCCCTCTGAGATAAAGTTGTGACCTTATTGATTGTGAATGTGCAATTCTACAAGTACATTTTAGAGACAAGCAATTAAAAAATAAACATTTAAACAACTTACCTTTGGTGCCTTGAACTTGGAGAAAAATCCAAAAGACAAAAATAGCCTTTCTATTCTCCAAATACATTCTGGCCTTTGTGCATTGGTAATTCTGACAAAAATCACAGAACAACCTCAAATCTCATAGAAAAACAAAAAAATGACAGAACTGTGAAAAATAATTAAATATTGATGCCAGCTGATTGAGGATAACCTGTTTGGTCTACCCTTCTGTGGGTGCTAATTTATGAAGAATGTGCAGCAGTGTCTGTTTCTAGAATAATCTGCTTATCCTCCCCTCAGGTGTAATCTCTGCTTACGGGCCAGCTGGAAGAACCTTTATCTCATTAACCTTCTGGAGGAGCATCTGCCAGCCTAGCTCCAGGACCCTGAATGCCATTATAAACAAGTGTCCATAGATAGACTTTTTTTCTTAGCTATTCACCTGTTACAGTAACTCAGAGAGCCAGGTGAAGTCCTGCCAAATGCAGACAAAGGCTGACAGTTAGGGTCAGATGTTTTCCAAAATGACATGCACAAGAAATGCCCATTGAAAGAGCTTAATTGCTATCCCTGAAGTTCACGGTCATTCAATATGTGTTAGTCTCTGCAGGTAGCAAAGCTGTCTCCGTTCTCTCTTATGTACGGCTTTGTAAATCACTTCCTATCTGGCATTCCATAAAGATGGCTTTTTTGATTTGAATGTGATTTTGGTTTTTAAAATCTGCATTCATGCACAAAGTTTAAGGAGTCAAATACTATTTCTCATAAAGTTTGTGGAAAATAACTAGGCCAGCTTTTTACCCACACCTCCATTCCAAGGTTAGCCATTTTTAATTCATTAGGCTAATTCTTCTAGTACTCTCATTGTGTTCTTCTAAATAGTATGCTTCTATTAGTCAGGTGTTGTGGTGGGTGCCTGTAGTCCCAGCTACTTGGGAGACTGAGGCAGGAGAATTGCTTGTGTCCAAGAGTTTGACGTTGCTGTGAGCTATGACATCATGGCAGTCTACTGAGAGGAACAAAGTGAGACTCTATCTCAAAAACAAAACAAAACAAATAAATGGTATGCTTCCATTACTATTTTCTGGGTTTCGTTTTTAACTACTATGATATAATGGATATTGGGAATATTTTTCCTCCCATACACTCTTTCCAGTCACACAAACATATACTCATCTCATTCCTCCATCCTTCTGCCTCAGAATTACCATACTCTCAGTTAATTGAACACTCAATCTTATGTTATTTTTACTGTGTATATGCCTTGTGTAGCTGAGCCCTGGACTTCACTGCAGTTACTACTCTGTATTGAGCATAGTGTGGGGATGAACATTATCTTTAGAACTTTCCATAGATGATCCACATATTTCTCAATATAGCATTATAAGAATGTACTGTTATCTCTATTCTAACCCTGAGGAGAATAAGGTGCATGTGGCAAAACCAGGATTTAAGCCCGAAGAGTGTACTTGAAGATTCTACACTCTTAACCACCATTGCTCATGATGCTTTTTGCAATTGACCCTTATTTATTTTTTAAAAAATTTTCTTAGTTTTCTAAATACAAAATAGTAAATTATCCCCACTGTCACCTTAGATGTGTAAATTTCCTCTTCCTAGAGCAAAGAGTTGAGGCAGCCTGCCCTTTCCCAGGGCTTCCTCAGCCCTCCCCGCCGCAGTGTTTAATTTCCTGTCTTTGCTCCCAGCAGGAGTCCCACCGCACAATCCCCAGTGTTCCTTTCCACCTGTCTCTTGTGCTGGATCCCATGATTCTGGATCCTGTGCTGTCTTCTTGCTGAACTTGGTCTCCCTTGGTTCAGCAGGCACATACTCCCCTGGATCACTGACAGTTCATGGTAGATGAATTTGAGATCTTACCCGTTTGAAAATGGCTTCGTTCCCACCCTCATGTGTGGTTGATAGTTTGACTGGATACAGAATTCTAGGTCAGACGTAGCATTCGCTGAGAGAAGTGAAGACACCTGCTGCAGAAGTTCCAAAACTTAATTATTGTTGTCTCTTTTCTTTTTTATGTTGTGGCTTCAAACTTAAAAGCCCCATTATGATTATTTTCTTGAGGGATTCAGTAGTAGCAAAGGGTAATAGATTTTCAGCTCTCATCTGCAAGTACAGATTATCTTGCTAATATATTAAGGAATATTATCCAATTGGTGTAGAATCCTACTTACAACAGTGTATCTTTTTTTTTTTTTCTTACAACAGTGTATCTTAAAATGAGAAATGGAGTAAGTGGAAGGTAAATCTATTTTAGGTATTATATGAAAATTATATGAAAATGCCATAGAATAGATACATACCTACACATAAATATCTCTATCGTATATTCACATTGGTTGAAAAGCTGGTTGGTGCTAACAGAATTCTTTTCCCTTGGTTTGCATTACACTTATGTTTCTAACTCTGTTGAGAAACTTTAGTGTTCCCTCTTTAGGAGAGAAAGCAACAATTTCAGTTATGGAAACAACTTCCAATTTTTTTTTTTAATAGTAGCAATATTAGTTTACTCTTTTTTTTTCATTTTTTATTTTATTATTTATTTATTTATTTTGGCCAGGGAAGGGTTTGAACCCACCACCTCTGGCATATGGGGCTAGTGCCCTACCCTTGTGAGCCACAGGTGCTGTCCTCATTTTTTATTTTTTAAGAAAGTAATTTTTAATTTTTAATTATTTTTATTTTTACATATACATGTGTTTACTAGGTTTCTACTTTTTGCCTTCACAAAATCAAAAAGGCTTAAAATTTAACAACAATAACAATGTTTAAGATAAGGACTAGAAACAAACTTTGTAAAGAATGAATGAAGATAAATACCTTCATAAAAGAAATCAGATGATTGGTGCAAGGAAACAACTTCCATTTAATAGCCTTTTAATGAAATGGGTTACCTAAAGAAAAATGTGGTATAGACTAATTTGTATTCATAAATATATCTTCAGTCATAGATATTAATATAAAGGTAATTTATTTTAAAATAAAAAAATATTGAAAAATATCTCCTTATGGGTGAGTAGCTTATGCATTTCACCACCCTCTCCTTTTTAAATTAGAGATGAGATCTCACTCTCTTGCCTGGATGGAGTATAGTGGCATGATCATAGCTGACTGTACCCTGAAACTCCTGGGCTCAAGATATTCTCCCATCACAGTCTTACAAAAAGCTGGGACTACCGGTATGTGCCACCATACCTGTCTATTCTTAATTTTTTTTTTCTTTTTTTTTCTAGGGATAGGGTTTCATATATTGCCCAGGCTATTTTCAAACTCCCAGGCTCAAACAATCTGTCTGCCTAGGCCTCCCAAAGAGCTGGGATTATAGGTATAAGCCACTGCACCTGGCCATTTCCCCCACTTATGGTTAAAAATCTCTGTAACTAATATTAATTACTTTCACGTAGAAAGCAAACAAGAACAATAAACATTCTTTATTCCTGAGACAATGCTTTCTGGGACCATCTAAGTACTGTTGTGTTTAATTATGGGTCATTGTTAATTAATCCAGAAGTGCTTTTTCAAGGTGGTTGACTGTCAATGATTATACATTCTTAAAGAGGTAAGCTTCCCCCTTTACGTTCTGGCAGAATTTCAGTGGTGCATTTAAAATGTACAAGATAAGGCCAGGCATGGTGACTCACACCTGTAATCCCAGCACTCTGGGAGGCCGAGGTGGGTTGATTGCCTGAGCTCACAAGTTCGAGACCAGCCTGAGCAAGAGTGAGACTTCATCTCTAAAAAATAGCTGGGTGTTGTGACGGGCTGTAGTCCCAGCTACTTGGGAGGTTGAGGCAAGAGAATCATTCGAGCCCAAGAGTTTGAGGTTGCTGGGAGATATGACGCCACAGCACTCTACTGGGGTGAGACTCTGTCTCAAAATAAAGTACCAGGGGGCAGTGCCTGTGGCTCAAAGGAGTAGGGCGCTGGCCCCATATACTGGAGGTGGTGGGTTCAAACCCAGCCCTGGCCAAAAAAACTGCAAAAACGAAACAAAACAAAAAGTACATGGTAAGGTGGAAAGGGAAGTATGTCTTCAGACATCTTTATCTGAAATCAGTGGATATAAATAAGTAAGTGGCATTTATCAAAAAGAGAAACCATTGAAAATGCAGAGTCCTATGTAAAGTTCACTGTATTGGTCTTTTCCTTCCTATTGTATCTGCCTACTCGGACATGAATAAGATAGCTGCGCAGAAATCTGGAAAGTTTCCTCCCCTAGAAGGGTGATTTTTCTTTGGCAGAAGGACTGCTGTTCTTCAGTGTGTTAGGCTGCACTTTGCTAGCACTGTTGATTGTTGATTTCTCTCTCCAATCCAGGCAGGCAAAGGGAGAATTCTTTTTTTTTTTTTTAATTAAGTCATATATATGTAGATCATGAATATATTTATGCCTTTGTGGGATTCAATGTGTTGATTATTTGTACAAACTGGAGTACTTACATCCTACTACTTAACATAGCTTTTACCTGATTTACTTACTCACAGTGTTAAAACATTTGTGTTCAATACTTGATAGATTTGACTTATAGCCTTGCAATATGCTCCATAGGTGTGATCTCACCATTAACCCTCCCTCTATCGAACTACCCCCCTCCCATGTCATCCCTCTCCCCTTCCCTTCTTCATCCTGGGATTTAGTTGTGATTCATCTCTCATATGAAAGTGTGAGTGATTATAAATTGGTTTTATTGTAGTACTGAGTGTATTGGATACTTTTTTTCCGTTCTTGAGATACTTTACTAAGAAGAATATTTTCCAGCTCCATCCATGTAAACATAAAAGAGGTAAAGTCTCCATCTTTTTTTAATGCTGCATAGTATTCCATGGTA